TATCTATCTATCTATCATCTATTTCTACCTACCTACCTACCTATACCTATCTCATCTGTTCATCTCTCTCTCACACACACATACATCAATCATCTATCTTTACCATCTATTTACAGTATCTATCCTCTATCTCTATCATCATTATCTATCATCTATCAATCATCTATCTATATCATCATCTACAGTACCTATCATCTATCTATATCATTATCTATCATTTAGCTATTTCATCATTATCTATCATCTTTTTGTCATGACCCCTCTCTCTTCCTCTCTCTCATTATCCACTATCTTACCTCTATCTATCTATCTATCTATCTATCTATCTATCTATCTATCTATCTATCTATCTATCTATCTATCTATCATCTATCTATCTATCTATCTATCATCTATCTATCTACCATGTTTCTCATAAAATAAATTTTTGAGCCCCGAAAAAATGGCTAGGACGTCTTTTCGGGGGTGACTTGATTTCCTCCCCCACACCCACCCCAACCTAGAGTGCCCCATGCGCAGTCACCTCTCCACAAGGCCACTTCTATCGGCTGATGGAAGCTCCCCGAAGCTCACCAGCCGCTTCTATCAGCTGGTAGAAGCGGCCTTGTGGAGAGTTGAGTGCGCATGGGGCGCTCTAGGTGGAGGTGCGCATGGGGGAGGAAATCTATTGGCCGGTAGAAGCAGCCTCGCGGCGAGCGCCCACACGCACTCCCCTCGCTACGAAGCCATTTCTATCGGCCAATGGAAGCTCCCCAAAGGCAGAGTCACCAGCTGCTTCTATCGGCTGGTAGAAGCGGGTTCGTGGCGAAGGAAGTGTGCGTGGGGCACTCGCCCTGAGGCTGCTTCTACTGGCCGATAGAAGCAGCTGGTGTCTCTGCCTTCAGGGAGCTTCCATCGGCCAATAGAAACGGCTTTGTGGTGAGGGGAGTGCGTATGGGCGCTCGCCCTGAGGCCGCTTCTACTGGCCGATAGAAGCGGCTGGTGACTCTGCCTTCACGGAGCTTCTATTGGCTGATGTTCTATAGGTAGTAGATTGGGGTATTCTACGTGCAGGGCGCTCCTAAAGGCAAGTTTTCTCGCCCCGTTCCCCCATTTCTCTTCACCTCGTGTAGTTTTAACGAACGATGTGAGAAATGGCGGGGAAACGCATGGATTAAATAGGCCTAAATTTTGGGGGTAGGGTTTAATTTCACCTCATGCCTAGAAATCGTGCTGGGCCTTCCTATTGGTGGAGGCCGTATTGTTGGAGAAACAGGGTATC